TTATGGAAAATATTTTTTTTAACCTTGTCTAAAAAAATTTTTTCCCCCCCCCCCCCCCCCCAAAAAAAAAAAAAAAAAAAAAAAAAAAAAAAAACACACACACAGGTATGGGCAAGAGGGCTGTTATAGTCAACTTGTAGCCTTCCTAGTGTTGAGGTCAGGCTTTAATCCAAACTTTATAAGTTAATACAAAGAGACTTTTCCTCATTTGTAAAGTATTTATAGATTCCACATTCCTTCAAGGACTCTCCAGAAGTTCCAGCCAGAGCATCACATGTTAAGCCAGGTCAGTAATGACAAGTGGACCAATCACTGCCTTCTGGAACAAACCATTGCCTAAAGAATAGAGTTGGGTTATTACACACACACACACAACAGTTTTGTTTGTTATTTTAGACTAAGAATCATACCCGCTCCTGGGCTTCTTGCTCTTCTAGTCTTGCAGGAGGAGTCACAGCAGTCACATATGCTGCTATACACAGGGTTATCCAGCAACTCCCAACTGAAAACAAAAGGCACACCATTCAGCTAGAGCTTCAGGATAACTCGATAGCAAGGTGACGCCTTTATCTTTACCCGCGACCCTTCACGTAATGACAAGCCTTCTTGGTGCTGTCAAGACCATTGGGATCCCAAGCAAACATGGTGCAGTGGATGTATACCTAAGAGACACCTGTCAGACCCTATTCACAGCCAACAAGCCAGCCACGTAAAGAAACAAGTTACCTCTTGTCCAAGCTCAAACCTAAATGCCTGAAGCGATAGCTGGAGTTCTGAGGCCTCCTGTCTTTGTTCAAATTTTGAGCGAGTGATTTTACTGTCTACAAGACACCTGCAAGTTAGAAGAGTCATTTGAGTCCCAAATAAGGGGAAATATGAAATCCTTGCATATACAAGGTTAATCAAAGTACCCCTTATTGGTGATTATGGTATAAGTTTCAACAGCAGTCTCAAGGTCTGATGTGGTTGCAGCAACACATTCTTCAAGCAGAAGCAGCAAGGGTTGATGGGCTACCTCCTCCACACTAGCCATGATGGGGATCATGGAACCCAGGGGAAAGGTAGATGTTTCAGCAGGGCCTGAAAAGTCAGCTAAAAAAAAAAATAAATCCCACCAAAACAGCTTTCAGTTTGACTTGTGGATGGTCAACATCAGTTATTGACATGAGTGTCAGAACCTACCATTCATGAGTTCCATATGGAATAGCAAGTCCTCTACTCCATATGTAGAGGACACCGGCTCATAGAGCATTGGGTACCAGTCTTTGGGCCTGAAGACATGTTCGTTTAGTCTTCAAGTACAGATAAGAGTTTCAAATCTAGTCACCCAACTCTTACCTTTGATATGAACAGACCACTGGAAGAGTAAAAGGAAGCACATAAGAGCCAGGAGACGACATGTAGAACAGGTCATTGGTGTAGTTCAGTTCACTGCCAGAGACCTTTTATAGAAGAGAGTCAAAATGCAGTATGAAGTAGTTTGACATGCTTCATTTGGCCAGGGATCTCTTGCTCACCAGCCTCCTGAAGTTGCAGTTGTCAAGTTCCACATTGAAGACCACCTCCTGTGGCGTAAAGGTGGTGGGGAAGCAGCTGCCAAGACGAAACAGCGACGCATCAGCCTGGGATCCGCTGTCTGACCAAACCAGGGTCACGAACTCCGGCCCACAGTCCAGTTTCATCTCTGGAGAGGATAAAGGACGAGTCTGTAAAAAGGCTAGAAAAACGGTTTGTGGAAAAAGAAATATCTATATGTTAGCACCACTACCTGCGGCAGCCAACCCAACAACCACCAACCAGAGAAGGAGCTCATGATGCCAAAAGAAAGCCATCATGACTGAATGCTGAGGAGTTGTCCCAGCTGTGCTTTTATTCTCACTGACTGTTGCAGTTCAATCAAGGAAATTACTTTCACCTGGTGGCTGTTAGCAGCAGTCAGTCATAGACCATTAATTGGTGTAATTGCAGCAAGGCTCTAATTCTAATCTCCCAGAAGATCCAAATAATCAAACGTTTCATTTTATGGTAAGGAGAAGGAAAGAGAATAAAAGCACGCATATGGCTTATGTGGTGTTGAAAATTAATGTATATTATTACCTTCACAGATGTATACTGTTGTTTATAATGACTTAAGATATTACTTTGAAATAGATTAAGGGTTCCAAAACCTTCAAGGGCAAATCATGTATTCCAACTTCTAAAATGTCTACATTTTCTAGTTTCTATGATAATCAACCAACTTCCTACTCCTTTTACCTTTTTCCTGTTCCATTTAGCTTTTTTATTTATATTATGAGAAAAAGCAAATGTCTATGTGTTAATTTATGAAACATGCATAAAAAGCATGAGTAGGAAATGTGTGGTCTAGAAATCCAATGATCACTTTGACCACTTGGGATTCTACTTGTACAGTTAACTACTGTCTCCTCGGAGTAAGAAGATCCTCAGTGCGAATCTTGGCCAGAGCTTCTCCACATCCAGTTTGCATGTTCTTCCCATGTACGCATAGGTTCTCCTCGAGTACTCAGGTTTCCTTCGAAGTCCAAAAGTACCACTGGGTCAATTGATCTCTCCAAGTAGCCCTTAGGTATCTGTGTGTGTGTGTGAATTCCCTGTGATAAATTGACTAAATATCTATGCTGTATTCAATACATGAATCCCCTAAAGATAGACACTGAAATCATCTTTGTCAAATAACTTTAAGGTAAATGATAAAACTTCGAAATGGCAACCCACATCTAATACTTTTCTTTGAGAAAACAAAAAAAGTTCAATATTTTTGCCAGATTACTTGAAGCAGCATTTAAATAAGATTTCTATGAAACGTGTTTAGAAAACACGGTCCATTCCAGGGAATAGAGGGTCGAAAGCAGTTTTACTTTAAGTTGCCTTTGCTTTAATGTGTTGCTCCAAAGATTGGTCACTGGCTTTTTTCCCCATCTGTATTGGATAAACACCTTCAGTCAATACAGAAGCAATTCCAATCTCTTAGAACTGTAACAGGTACATAAAAGACTGATTATGACAAAATTGTTACTCATTTCAGAAAGTGAAATTTATTGCAGTACTATTTCTTGTAACATGACTTACAAAAAAAATTACATAAGAAAAAAAAAGGATATTTTAAACAATGTCAGGCTTCTGAATTTCTATACTTTGTCAGGACTGCAGCATAGCATGGAGGTGACAAACCTGTGCTTTTTGCTGAAGTATACAGAAGTCCAGATTAGTTTGATAGTGGCCTTCTAGTCATGTTTAGTTTTGATGTCTCATCTTTAATACGCCAAATATAGAGTTCAAGTTGCTGGTCAAACAATATCATTTGAGCTTTTGGTACTGCAAGTATGGGAAGTCCTGCTGAAAAGGAAAGTAGTCCTGTTACATTTCCTTAGAGACTACTTTTGAACACAGAGGACGTTGGACCCTGGGGGTGCGGGGGTTCAGTTTCACTTCAGGACCTTGATTTCCAGATGAAAGGCAAGCTTTTATCTGAAAACCTTGCCACTCAACTTCATTTCAGTCCAAATAAGGTGCTCCTAATCTATGCTGTGGCACTTCAGGCTCACTCCAGTCTTGTAGAACATTGCTACTGCAAGTTAGGGTTTGACCCTAAGCTAATACAAAAAGAAAAAAAAAAATTATATATATAAAAATTCTGGATTTCAATCCATGAATAAGTCTGTGTTCCACTGATGAAGAAATACTTAGTTTTCATATAGCGGTTTAAAGATTTAAGCTAATCTAGTGAAGTTCATTGCACATGTTCACCCATAAACCAAGATCAAAAAGGGTTAAAATAAGAACAGGGTTTATTTTACAACTTCCCTTTCAAATTCAACAGCATCAAGTCAGGCAATTTCAGGTTATAAAAAAAAAAACAAAAAAAAAACTGGTGTCCAGAGTCTTGTAAATTAAGAGTGCCACAGGCTGCACCTTGGAGTTCAGCTTCAACTTAAATTTCCTGCAAATAGACAATTGCATTTGTAATGAGACACGCATTGGTGCAAAGCTTGGATACAGAAACTTCACAACCCCCGCACTCCAACCTGTGAGCCAGCTGCATCAGTCTCAGGCAGTGAAGAATTTACCAGAGAGGCTGGCTGGTCAACTATGATGATGGGTCCCAACACAGAATTGAAGTGCACGCTGTGAGGCTCTAAAACGAGAAAATCAGGAGAGGTCAGCTATACAGCAAGGCTATTGGGCAGGGGGACAAAAAAGAAAAACACCCCACTTACCCCAGCTTGTTGCCCTTTTGGTGCGAGGACTACAAGAGTTTTCACAGCAGTTGCAGAGAGAGCTCCGAGCAGGGTCATCAAGCAGCTCCCACCTGATGACCACAACAGTTTTAAGCACCTTGTCCTTAGAAACCGTGAGAGATTTGGCAACATACAACTTCTGTACATGTAGTTACCTCCCATCTTTCACATGGCAAGCCTTCCTGCGTTTATCAAAATAATCCCCATCCCACACGATTAGATTGCAGTGAATGTATACCTGGGAATCGCAAGAACAGTTAGTTCACAAATTGGGGAAAAAAAATAAATAAAAAAATCAGAGCAATTTAATTCCAGACTCACCTCTCCTCCCATCCCAAACTCAAATGACTGGAGATAGAGAATTATGGCAGATGAATGGTACCGAGGAAGGAACAGCGAGCTTCCCCTTTTACTTTCTAGAAGACACCTAGTGGTCCCAAACTCAAGTCAGCAACAAGCCCAATGACCATTTTAAAACAACAAAAAAATTATACAGTTTGACACCTACCCATGATTGCCAACAATGTGATAAAGTTGGTTGCCAGGTTCCAGTTCTGGGGTTGAAGCCGCAACACATTCATCCATGAGCAGCACTAGTGGCTGATGGGACTTCTGCTCCACAGCTGCCCAGATTGGTAGGAATGAGCCGAGGGGAATCACATTTGTCTTCGAGACGCCCGTTAATTGCTCTTTGAGGGATGGAGGTGAAGAACACAAGTTAATCAGCCCAGAATCTAGCCACGATTTAACCTGGCAGGAGAACTTACCATTCAGGAGAGCCATATGAAAGACTAGCTTACTGCGTCCCTCAGAAACACCTGAGCCAGGATTCAGGAACTGGGGGATTCTTCCTTCAGGTCTGAAACAAGTGAAGATTCAGCACCATACCTTGCTCTTTTAATCATACTGTAGTAAAACAAATTACTACCGTTTCTGGACACATTGGATGGGATACTTGAAGGCAACAGGCTTAGGTTTTGCTTGTGGCCTGAAGCTCAGTTCGTTTTGATATATTATGCGTTTTCCCTTCAGCTGCAGACAGAAATAACCAGTTAGTGGCGAACATTGCGCGGCGATTAATCGACTGAAAGCGTTATGGAGACACCTTACCTGCTTGGTAAACTTGCAATCATAGAATTTGTAGTTAAAATGTGCCAATCCCTCTCCGGTGGGCAGAACTTTCCACGACGACGGCATGCAGCTTCCAAGGAAGAATCGAGCTGCGTATGGGACGAACTGGGGGGCTACCCTCCATGTCACTCGCACAGAGTCTTTTGCACAGACCACTTTGATATCTGCGGATAAAGTTCCAGGATTATTTCATGACCACAAAAAGCACACATAGCTGCTAAACATCGACGTGGATGTATGAGGCAAATACCTGGGTCAGCAACAGCTGTTGCTAAGACAGCCAAGACCACAAGACCTAGACAGAGATGAGCTACCATGACTAATGGACCTCAGACACAACCAGACTGACACTTTTTTTTTTTTTTTTATCCACCTTTCAGTTAATTAGCTGAGTGGAGGACGTCTGTGCGAAGGCGGGACAGCTATTTATCAGAGTGTTGTGTTCACGGTCCCCAGGAAGAATAGGAGTTGACATGAATACATATTTAAATTAAGAAAAAAAAGGAAAAAAAAAATCACTTTTCATTTTTAGTAGAAGCAGTGCTTTTTTCTTTTTAGAGATGATGATCAAAAATAAATGTACACAACTTTAAATTTATTAATATAGTAAACCTATTCACAAGCAAACATGTTATTTTCAAATGAAGTGAAATGAAATGTAAATAGATAGATAGATAGATAGATAGATAGATAGATAGATAGATAGATAGATAGATAGATAGATAGATAGATAGATAGATAGATAGATAGAATAGTAATTAGAAAAACATGTAATCAACACTTTATAAAAACAAGAATTTGTTTTTCTTAAGAGATTTTTCCTATGAGATTATGTTTTTTTAGCAACATAATCTCGCAAATTTCCCAATTATTTCGTGTATAGTTTACTAAAATTGTGACACTAATTTGCTAAACTGTTCAGACGCTCAGATGGTTAAATCTTTATCGACAATTATTACAGTGGTTTAAAACTCTGGGTGGATGTAATGAAAACAATAGTAACAACAGACGCTCCTCCAACACATGGCGGCTAACAAATATATTAGTGTTGTTTTTATTTTTGCAAAAGTTTATGAAAAAAGATAAGGTACGTCTAGATGAAATTTATATTATTACTATCATTATTAATCTGTAGTTTTAACAGCGGAACCTTTCTGCTGGTGTTATGGTAAAAGCCGACATAGTTAGAGTGTTGGCCCGCTACACAGGAAGTAAAGTCAGGTTAGCTTGACGAACTGGTTGTAAAGCGTTAATTTGCTAGTTGTTTTGTTCTGTTAGTCCTCCTTTCTCTTTTCAGTAAAATAATAGTGTTTATTCAACATGCTGATCAAAGTTAAGGTGAGAAATGTTTCATTGAGGTTTAACTTTATTGCTGTTCGCCGGTTCATTATTTCTTCTCCGGAGATATATCCAACCCATTACTCAGTGATTCTGCTCAGTCTTATGCTCAGAAGACAGTTTCATTACCTGGTAGTAAGGTTAATGTATCCTTTTGGTTGCTTAACTTACTGCTCTTGAAGTTTTTTCAAAAAATAAAATCATGAGTCAAAGCAGAGGGAAAACAACTTTTGACTCGGGAGTTCCTGTATAAGCCATACTATGTATTTTTGGGTGTTCGTGTCAAAACCCTAGATTTATTCTGGATGCTGACTGACAGACATGTGCTCTAAACAACTATGTTTTTATTGTTTCTATAGTTTTATAGAGCAAATAATTTTTGGGGACAAATTCCAGTTAATTGCGACCCTTACAAATCACCACAGGACTTTTCAAAAGGGTATGATTGTTTTTACAAATTCCTTTATATAGCAGATTGAAAGATTGAAAACCATCTAACTCTTCAAATTTTAGGTTTATTGGTAATCTCGTGATACTAACATATCGTTACCATCGTAACGGCCTAAGAAATGTATTTTATTTTTTGCCAAAAGTGATTTTTTTTTTTTTTGGGGGGGGGGGGGATATAATAATATATATATATATATTTTTATTTTTTTTTTTTTTTTT